ACTCCTGTACGAAAAATTATGGGCTGTTGAGTGCACACTGGGCGGGGGTAAGTGTTCGGAGGGCTAATGGGGGGTATAATGGAGGGGGTAAGTGTTTGGCCAAGAAAAGGGAAGAAGAGAGGGTTTGGTGAGCTTTGAGTGAAGTGATTGGATGAAAAGGAAGATGGGACATAAAGCTACTTTTGTGTGCAAAAGTCAACAATTGAATAGTGGCCCATTAGTGCTCCTAATTGAGCTTAATTCAATTCACTCACCTCTAATCTCTCAATTAACTTTTCTTAGTCTGAATTTGATCATCTTTAATTCTCCAAAACCACTACACTCTCGGACCAAATATTATCTCGAAAATTGTGTTTTCATTAATTCTTACTAATTGAGCGATAGAAAAATTAATTTTAAGGACAAATGTATTAAAATATAACTTGAGACAATTTACCATGCAAATGCAATTAAAATGAATGAAATAAATTAATTGGAGCAAATGAATAAATAAATACTTAGATAAACCACTGAAATAAATAAATTAAAAAAAATAAAATAAAATAATAGATCCTCACAGACATGTGTATATATATGTTAAGAGATCTTCATGTTCCAAAATTACCTCGCGTCAATATACCTTAGAGACTAGATGTTGTGTGTGCCTGTGTATGTGTACACACACACATGTATATATAAGTGTGCGTGTGCATATATTCAACATATATGTACATACACATACACACACATGTACACACAATACATACATATATACATGTATGTATTGTGTGTACAGGTGTATGTGTGTGTGTACATATTTGTTTGTTATAGATCTTATAAAATATAAATTGATAAAAGTGAAGAACTAAGAAAGTAGAGAGAAGGAGAACAGAGAGAAAATTTATTTCATTCAACTGCCCTTCTAAAGATTACAAATGAAGCTTGTAAGATCTCTATTTATTGATGTTACAAGGTGAAAGAAACCTGTACCAACACTAATATGGAAACATGAATTGAATAGTTCCACAATGAACTAATAAATTATGAGAAAATAGATGAATGTACTAATGAATCTTTTAGGGGATGAATGTTCCAATGTACCTCTTGAGGAGATGTATGAACTTCTACACTTATTATTTATTAATTTCAATGCCAAAATTTATCAACTAATCAAATCTATAATTCTTGTCTTTTTTCATAACTTCAAAAAGCTTTTATTATATGTAAAAGTATTACCAACTACTATTTTTCTTCGATTTCAAATTCTTACTGAAGTAACAAAATTATTACACTTTTCATAATTTCATTCTCTTCAGGAGTATGCTGTTCAAGAGCTAGAATTTTGTCACTAGTAATTTCTTGGAGTCATTGATTAATCTTGGACTTCACTATTTTGTCATTAACAATTCTCTTTTCTTTTGAAAATTTTCATTTTTAGAACTAGGAGCTCTACTACATTTTAGGCATGTTTTAAACTTATTAGCACTTGCAAGTTGTCATTTAAGAACATCAATTTTAATGGAAACATTTCAGTAGGATTATGTGATTTAGTAAATCTTCTGGGATCAACAAATGCACGTGACAATTGAGTTGCAATTTTTTTTGCAAATAAATAATCCTTTGAACTTCAAGTTCACATCTTTTTGTACAAGATTCTAGAAAATCCAATGATGTTTTTGAAGTGAGTTCATTTTTTCAGTTGATCTTTTCCTCTCCCAATATCAAATCAAATATTTATAGATTTTGATTTAATCAAATCAAGTTTAGTCAAATCAAATATTTACAATTATGATAAAATTAGATATGCCAAGATAGGGCATTCATGAATACCCTAACTTTATCATACGTCATTCTCTCTTAAATCTCTAAAGAGTTAGACCACAAGTTAAGGGATCTTCAAGTTCCAAAGTAACCTCGCGTCAACATGCCTTGGAGACAAGATATGTGTGTGTGCATGTATTTGTGTATACACATACACACATACATACATACATATAGACATATATATATGTATGTGTGTGTGCATGCACACACGTATGCACATATTTAAATATATATACATATAAATATACATACACATAAATATACATATGTATACATAAACATGCATACATACATACATATATATATAGACATGTGTATATATATGTGTGTGTTTCTTTGTTATAAAACTAATGGAATATAAATTGATAAAAATGAAGAATTAAGAAAGTATAGAGAAGGAGATTAGAGAGAATATTTCTTTCATTCAACTGTTCTTCTAAAGGTTACAAATGAGGCTTATATGTCCTCTATTTATCGATGTTACAAGGTGAAAGGGACATGTACCAACATTAATTTGGAAACATAAATTTAGTAGTTCCGTAATGAACTAACAAATTATGACAAAGTAGATGAATAATAAATCTTTTAGGGGATGAATGTTTCAATGTATCTCTTGAGGAGATGTATGGATGCCTACACTTATGATTTAGTAATTTCTATGCCAAAATTCATCAACCAACCTAAGCTTATAATTCTTGTCTTTTTTCATAATATCAAAAGCTATGTTATATGTAAAAGTATTGCCAACAATTATTTTTCTTCGGTTGCAACTTTTTCTTATAGCAACAAAATTCATTAAAATTTTCATAATTTCTTTCTCTTCATAAGTATGCCATTCAAGAGCTGGCTCTTTAAGAGCTAGAAATTTTTCACTAGTAATTTCTTGGATTCAGTGATTAATCTTTGACTTCACTATTTTGCCATTAACTAATTCTCTTTTCTTTTGGAAATTTTTATCTTTAGAACTAGGAGGTCTACTACATTTTAGACGTGCTTTAAACTCGTTAGCATTTGCAAGTTGTCCTTTAGGAACATCAATTTTAATGGGAACATTTTTAGTAGGATTATATGATTTAGTAAATCTTATGGTATCAGTAAATGCACACGGCAATTGATTTGCATTTTGTTTCAAATGAATAATCCTTTGAGCTTCGATTTCACATTTTTTTGTACGGGAATCTAGAAAATCCAATGGTGTTTTTCAAGTGATTTCATTTTTTAGTTGATCTTTTCCTCTCCTGATGTCAGGAAATATGATTCATTAAAATGACAAATTGCAAATCTCTTAGTAAACAAATCACCAATTGAACAAAACCAGGCTGGCATAAAACATACATCGTGAGAATTAGGGCTACTGACGGCTCCGAAAATTTAGGAACGCACGAGTCTCTTGCGAAGCACGTCGGTGCATGGCGGGCTGGGGGCCGTCGGCGAAGCCCCGGATGGCGGGGCTCCCTCCTTCGCAGCAGTAATTTCGTCGACGGTAGGGGCTGAACCGGTGGCGCTTGGGGAAGTGTCATCGTTCAGGGGAGAGCCGGCTCTCCGCATCTCCCGGCAGGACATCTCGAAGCTTGCTGCACCTTTCAAGAACTCTCTGGTTGGGCGGTTTCCGTTCAGCAGACCTGCGTTGGAGCACATCAGAAAATTCATTGTCTCTCTCGGTTTACGAGGGGGACTGCCCTGTAGGCTTGTTGGACGCCAAACACGTCCTCCTCAGACCAGCCTTGGAGGAAGATTATACCCGCCTGTTTGCCCGCCGGATCTGGTATATTCAGAGTTCTCCAATGTCCATATCTAAGTGGACAATCGACTTCAAAGCAGACCAGGAACTAGCCGTCGCTCCGGTGTGGGTGTCCTTCCCAGAGCTACCGCTCCCCTTCTTCCAGAGGTTTCAACTTCTGCAGTTGGCTGCGACGTTGGGGCGTCCTCTGAGAATTGATGCAGCCACCAACGACCTCAGGCGCCCTTCGGTAGCTCGAGTTCTGGTGGAGGCAGACATTGCCAAAGTGCCGGCGGCGAAGCGGGTGTGGATTGGGATGCCAATATGGTTTCTGGCAGCCGGTGGAGTGGGAACACTTTCCGGTATATTGCGCCCACTGCCGCTCTTTCGGCCACCAGGAAGCGGCTTGCTTCAGGAAGAATCCGGCTTTGCGTCCACAGCGCCAGCAACGTCGAGGGGAAGCACCTAACCCCAAGGAAAAGGGAACTGCCCTGGCCCTCGCCCATGGCTCTGGGTTGGCGCCGCTGATTGGCCACGGCGGCGTGGAAAGGATGAAGACCCTCTTCCGGTGGTGCCCCCCCCCGACTCTCCAGCAGGCTGTCGCTGGGCTTGGCCTGGAGCAGGCAGCGCCAAATGCAGAAACTCTCGGGCAGGAGGACAACGTACTGGCGGAAGACGCATTGGCAGCGCCACCTGCTGCATGGGCACAGGCAGGCGCCATGGTGGAAGCGACACTAGCCGGAAAAGGTGCAGAGGGGGTCCATGGCAGAACGGTGGCTGAGGCTACTGCTCCACCCGAGCCCACGGAAGGATCGCCCAGGGAGATGCCTTCAACGCTGCTGCCAAACCTGATGCTACAGGACAGGAATCAACCACAGGTGGAGGAGTCCGCAGGGGTGCTTGTTGGCAGCTTGGTGATTGACATAACGGGCACAGGCGACGATGTCCCGGTGGTTCAGACGACGATGTCCTCAGTGAGCGCGTCATTCGGAGGGGGGGTCAAACCGCTTTGCAGCTCTTCAAGGCATGGATGAGGAGGAGTCGGATGGAGGGTCGTCAAGGTCACCCCCGCGCATCTTGCGCAGACGGGACTTGCCACGGCGATTGTCAGCAGACAACCTGGGGGAACTGGTCTCCACTAGGCAGCAGCTAGTGGAAGCCCACAAGGAGTTGAACCGCAGATGGAACTTACTCACTGCAGCGGGAGGGGGGTCACAAGGCGAGGAATACGGCGCAACTGAGTCAGGAGAGGGCTCGCCAAGTAACAGGGGGAGGCGTAGAGGCCGCCCCCGTAAGGGTGCCACCACGAAGCAGGTAATGATAGTTTCTCAAACTTCTTATTCCCTCCGTTCTAATGTTAAACCCAATTAGCATTTTGTGTTGGAATATTCGGGGTGCTTCCCGCGTGGACTCTCTTCGATATGTGGGGAAAATTTGTCGAGAAAATTCGGTCCGCCTTCTGGCGTTACTTGAACCGATGTCGGACATTGGGCAGTTGGAGATTGTCCGTCGCAGACTCAACTTTGAGCATGCGGCTAGCTTTATTGATCGGAAGATTTGGCTTCTATGGGATTCGAGTCTAAGTCTTGCTTGTGTGGAATGTGCGGAGCAACTGGTGCATGTAACGACCTCCTTTGGGTCGGACGTAGCTATCGCTGTATCCTTTGTTTACGCGAAATGCACCAGGGTGGCGAGGCGGCCCCTCTGGGAGGCGCTAGAAGGCATAGGGGAGGCTATGGTTCTTCCATGGATGGCAATTGGGGATTTTAATGTCATCTCCTCGGCGGAGGAGAGATCGGGGGGGTCCCCTCCCAATCCGCGCAACATGGAGGAGTTCAATACCTCAATGTTTAGGTGTGGCCTAGCCGCAATGGATTTCGATGGGCCACAGTTCACTTGGACAAATGGCTCGGTCTGGCAGCGTTTGGACCGTGCCTTGACCAATGTCAAATGGGCATTGGCGTACCCGATTTCCAGGGTCTCTCATCTAACAAGGGGGCGGTCTGACCATGCACCCCTGATGGTGAAATGCGCCCAAGAATGGGATCTCCACGTTCCTTTCGGTTTCTTAATGTTTGGGCCCGACATCCTGGTTTCTTGCCTATGGTTCAAGAGGTCTGGAAAAGGGAGGTGGCAGGGGTGGGAATGAATCGCTTTTTCAATAAACTAGTTAAGGTGAAGGAGGAGCTGCGGATCTGGAATCGAGAAACTTTCGGTGACATTCCACCCGAGTTAAGATAGCCGAGAGCAATTACAGGTTGCGGGGCGGAGTATGATCGGAGTCGGGACGAGGTCGCTAGATCTCTCCTTCACGAGGCTCGGGCTACATATAACAGGGAGCTGGCAATCGAATGTGAGTTCTGGAAGCAAAAGGCGGCACTGAGGTGGCTGCGAGATGGGGACGCTAACACGTCCTTCTTTCACTCGGTGGTCCGTCAGCGCCGGAATTCAAACTTTATTGCGCGAATTAAGGATGCGGAGGGCCGATGGCTCGACGCGGCGCAGGACATTAAAACTTCTGCAACAGAATTCTACGCAGACTTATTTACGTCGGAGTCAACAGTTAGAGGGGGTTTTCCGGATCTTCCTTTTGCAATTCCATCGGTGGGTAGTGTGCAAAATGACAAGATACGAGAAGTGCCTTCCGCTGAGGAGATCAGAGAGGTGGTCTTCTCGATGGATTTGAACAGCGCCCCGGTCCTGATGGCTTTGGCGTGGGATTCTATCAAAAGTGTTGGGAGATTATCAAAGACGACCTAGTGGAGTCAATACATGATTTCTTCAGAGGGGTGAGCCAGCCACAGGGTTGGTCTAAACATGAAAGTTGTAGAGAATGATATTTTAGAGGTGTCTACAAAATTTCAGGTCAATCGGAGTAGGGTAGAATGAGAAAAGTTGAAATTACTATTGCTGTTCTGGTTTTACCCGAATGTAAGAATTGTGCCTGCAATTGGTTGTTTTGGCTGGAATTGCTTCAGAATTGGTTGTTGAGGCCTTCTGATTAAATATAGCCCTGTTTCTTAGCTTTCAGTTGGTTTTGGAATTTCTGGATTTGGACTTAGGTAGACTGATTTATGATGTTTCCGCTAGAATGCGTTCTGTGAATCTGTTTTTGTGATTCTGGTGTAGTATCTTGCATTTTTGACCTTGTTACACTCGAAACTGGGTTGAGTGACCTTCTGCAATATTGTAGCCCTATCTCTTAGTTTCGAAACGGTGTATCTTCCACCTTCATCCGACAATCATAGTGCCTTTGGTGCCATTACCGCAAAAGGATGTCAAAAGCTATTTTTCTGGTTTTGAGCTTAACTTTCATTTCCGAACTTTTCCCTAGCTTGACTTGTACTAGTACTACTTGGAGCTTGCTGAATGGCTATTGGATAAACTTGTTGTTGTGTGTGTACCTTTGGGACTGGCTGAAGAAATAATGAAGCCATGATGGCTGGGAAAGTAAGCAAATTTAGGGGAAGTGCTGTCCGAAGTTTTAAAGGATTTGATTGCTTTGAGTTTGTGATCTAAGACTTGGATTTGAGTAAGGCAATGTTATATGATGGATAATTTCTGAGCCATGGAGGTGAGTGACCTCAAACTATTTCTGAAGTTATTTATGAACCGTTTCTTGCATTATTTACCTTTAAACTGTTTCCAAAGTTACTTTTGAACTGTTTTCTTGCATATCATGCGTGCTTGCATGTGAGTGTTCCTTATTTGCTATATTTTCTTGATTTCATGACTTGTATTATTGATTGATAACGTGTTAAATGATTTGAATGATTTCCAAAACGAGCTTTCTAGGCGAGTGTGTACTTTATCGCACTCGACCTAAATAACTGTGCAATTTTCAAGGATTTAATTATTGAAATGCTAGTTGCGCATGATGTAAGCCTTTTGGGCTAAACTGGCCATTGCCCCTTGTTACCGGTCGTCTCGAGCCAGAAACTGTCTCGGTCGGGCGATTAGGGACTTGGGTGAACGTTTGGTATACTCGAGTATTACCTTTGTAGGTTGGTGGAGGTTGGTGGAGTCTGGTGAATGAAATGAATGACCAAATGAGCGAGGGGTTTATTTATAAAAGAAAAGAAAATGCATTTTTCAAAAGTTTGAAGGAAGGAGGAAATGTCAAGAGAACGAGCGTATCTTTTCATGAATGTTACTATCGCTTTCCATTGTAAATGTTTCTTGAATTATTGATACTCCATATTTACTGTTTTGCAAATGTTGTAGTTGTTTCTGGACTTATCATTTGATTTATGACATCATTGATATATGACATCATTGAAATGAACTATTGTGAAACCGATTTGATTACTGAATTTTCTGGTTACTCGCTGAGCTTCTAGCTCACCCCAAAAAAATATTTTATTCCCCTCCACAGGGCTCAAGGCGAAGGAAGGGCTTGTTGTGCTTATTCACGTGAATGGATGGCCTATATTTTGTACAATTTGGATTTGGAATCATTTTATGTATAGTTGGAAATTGTTTTCGCTTCGCTTATGACATGTAATTATTGGAGACTTGGATGTATGTTTGTAGACCACGTGATGTATATTTGAGATTTATATTGTAATTCATTTGAGGATTGTAGTGAACGACTGAGTCCCGGCGAGAGTTGGGCAGGCGGTCCGCCGAACCCTTTGGTACGCCCTAGGGGGAGATGGGGCCGTCACACATTCAAGTTTAATAGCGATCCACAAGTCAATCATAGACTTAGGATTAAAGAAATGCTGCAATTATACGAGCCAAATTCTTTTAAGATTACCATTTACAATTATAATCTAAAATCCCCAAGTATAACAAAATTTACACTCCAAATGTCTCCAATAACATATAAAAGGTTCACTAGCTTCCACCAAAAGTCACTAGTCTAGAGTCCCTAATTTCCACTTCCAAAATCTGTTAAGGAAAACAAACTTAAAGGAATAAGTTAACGCTTAGTGAGGCCAAGAAAATCAAATAAGCAAGCAAGTGGCACCAATTAAATCAAATATCACACTTAAAAGCGGCTTAACATGAAATTTCATTTAAGTGCTCAAATAAGAAATAAAACACAAGTAGAAGGATACAGGAGCTCTCAGGAAATATTTCCACATCTCAACCGATTCAATCCATCTTTAGTTAACCCTCCGTCAATTCAAGTAGCAACATGTCCCTAGAGTTTCACTTACTTCCTCCATCCATCATAACACCCTCTCAGATCTGGAACCAAACAAGTATGAGGTGGCAATACTAATTGAGTATGCCAAACAAGATCTCAAAATATCAAGTTATAAAATTTTTCATGATTCATCAAACTTCTCGACCAATCCCTTGCCGGCTCGAGTTACGAGGTTAGCCAATGGGTTGGGGCGTCCCCTCAAGTATAATTGGTTGACGAGATAACGCTCCAATCAACTTAGAATCGATCATAGCATTGAGTCGGTATGAGAGGCACTTCTTGATGCGAACCGATTCTACAAGGACCGCTCGAGAAGAAATCGAATTGATCAGGCAACGGAAAAATCTATCTTGATTAGGTTATGGAACAATAGCTACCTTAGTAGACCTAAAGAAAACCCGTCTTTAGAAACCTAGTGGATTGGTTATTGGCTTGAAAAAACAAGATGATGTGATCATCTTGCCTTGAACACCACAAGTATCCAAGCTAAGTACTTGATACAGTTCAAGAAGAAACTCAAGTTCCATCAAGGAACTCCACAAAGGAGAATAACTCACTTTTTATTAATTCATCTCTCAAAAGTTGTCTTATAATGGAATAAAAGAGGCCTATTTATAGTTAAAACCTAAACTACTAAAACAAATCCAATTTGGACAAGGATAGTCACTTATTACCCTAACTACTTTTAGATGGCTCAAATAGCCCACATAGCTGGCCATATTTATTCATAATAATGACTAACTAACCAACTTAACAAGAAAAAATGAAACAAAACAAAAGAAATTAAAAACCTGAAGATCACATAGCAGGCGCTCCATCACCTCCATGACTTCATATATTCCAATGGAGTCTTAAATATCAGGATTGGGTTGAAAAGGCTCTCAAGCATCTTGGCACGAGCTAGTGATGGTCCTACTGCTCGTATCACCTCCCACTCGAATAGGGTGTAGTACATGCTGCAACTCAGTGCTCACGAGTTAAACATATTCAAGTGTAAGTGCAAGTCACAAACATTCATGTAACAAGTAACAATTTATCAAGAGAAAAGGAGAGGACGAGAGCGGCAAAGTACACCATCGTCTCAGCAAGTTCACAAAGTATATAGCACTTGTACAATTATTATTTCAATCATAGTAACATGAAGCATGCACTTGACACTCACCAAAAGTCAAGAGTAAAGCAAGAACAAAAGCAAGAGGTCAGACAAGCTTCTCGGCATCCACGTGACCACCTGAGACATGCACAATCACGGTTACCCAGGTATTCAACCAAGGCTAATAAGAAAAATATTCTCTTGCTACCCACACTCAAAAGTCACAAGTTCAAATCGAATTAAAAGAGACTTTCTCGTTTAATCGTTGAAATAATACTCAAGGAAAATGCAAAAGTCGTTTTCGAATCAAGTCATAGCAAGAAATCTCGATTTCAAAAAAGAAAGTACCACGCTTAATTTTTTGGCACGAAAATCGAGAAAAAAAATGATTTTCATATCCTAAAGCTTCTAATCCTATGCTCAAGTTTTAGAATATAAAGGAGCGTTCATGTTTTCTAAAATTATGGAGTCAAAATCCATCAAAATGCTACTTATTTTCATAGTAAATATTGAAGTTAAAAGTTCCAAGTTTCAAATAGAAAACTAGTGAAATTCCTCAAGAGTTACTCTAGTTAAAACGCTCTATTTTATGGTTCATTTTCATGGAAACCAAGGGCATAAGATTAGAGGGTGAAATCCATTTTCCAAGCATGAAATGAGTGCAAATAACTAAAACATTTAGCCTTGAAACCTAGAAAATGTTTCCAAATGACTTTAGAGTGTTGTCACTTTACAAGGAAAAATTCAGTTTTGGCAACTTCTTTTGAAAAATCATAACTTGAGTTTCATAAGTCCAAAATTTACAAATCTTAAATTGTTGGAAAATAGATTCAATGAACTAAAACTCTCTAGAAGAAACTTCTTCCAGATTCAAACCCAAAATCAGTCAAATCTTAGCTCCAAATCACTGTTTTAGTAAGAATAGAGTAAAACAGTCTTAAATTTCAGTGAATTTTGAAAATTTGGTAAAATTCATAGGAATCTAACTACCCCTTGAAATTTATACCACTGAAATAACTCCAAATCTAGTTTCAAACGCAATAAATAGAACTCAATTTGGATATTTCTACACCAACATACAACAGTTTTATGAAACCTGGTTTTTGAAACCTGGTTCACGAAATTCCAGCTTTGGAACATCCGACACAGTTTTGAAATCAGGTCATATCTAAGTCTACACAAGTCCACAATTTGAAAACTAGATTCAAAATTCTAAAAATCACTAGAAGAAACTATCTTCAAATTCGTTTTGTAAGATGAGTGAAAATGAGCTACAAACTACAGCTGTGCTTGTTTCTTGGTTAAAACAGTGAGGAAAAACAGTCAACTTTGCTGGTTCACTGCGGGTCATACAAAACGAACTAGCAGGTGCATTTTATACCGTTGGAAAGCTCTTGGAGTCTAGTTTTGTATGCCACAAACGAAACTTAATTTTGACTCCTGTACGAAAAATTATGGGCTGTTGAGTGCACACTAGATGGCGGCACTGATCAGAAATTTTCAGGTTTGTTT